TTTTTCAAACAGAAGAGCAAACTGGGGGAGGATGGGCAGGGAGAAAAGTGCAACAATGAATGAATGGAAATCCAAAGTATCTGTAAATTTTCATTGAAATTAATAATAATAAGAAGAGTTAAAAAAGAAAGTAAAATTATACCTGAGATAGTTAAGAGATTAAAATTCATATTGGCTAGAAGGACTTAGCTAGCTCATCAATTTCTTTCTTCCATGACCATTTAGATGTTCATGTGTATATTCAGCAACGGACTCTAGTGTGCCAGAGATGAAGAGGATAGCACAGGATGGGAAGGATTCAGTTTGGCTGTTCATAGGGTCATTATGAGTCAATCATGCTCAACTTCATGGTACCTAACAACACCACCACCAACAATAATATTCTTTATTTTTTACACTTACTGTAATTAATATTGCCCTCCAAAGTCCCCCTTAATATCTTAATTCTGTCTGAATCAATTTTCCCCCAAAGCTTTATATATTATAAACCAATGGAATTTTCTTTCCTTTCCCCTCCAATGTTCTGACTGTGAAATAACACTAAAAATTTAAATTAGTGACAGAAATATTGTGTTAGGTTTCTATAGATTATTTGTAAATGGATAGGCAGATTTCAACTTTTTATAGGTAATGCTTCCCACTATTAATTAAGGAGTGATCGATCCAGTCATTGGCAGCACTCAAGTAAGGGGCATTCTGTTTATGTGTGATTCCTGTTAAGGATGGTATAGAAGAAGTTTATACATTGGTATAAATTTTGGACAAAAATGACATTTTTTTAAGCTACTTTAGCTACAAGTTACTATTTACTATTGTTGCCATTGTTATGTACCTTTATGTCAGAACAGACTCATAGCTGACCCTCCAACAGATTTTTTTTAGGTGGTAAATTGCATGAGAGGAGATGAACCATCTTTCTCTAGCAGAGCAGATGATGTACTCCAACTTTATGTTTTCAGGTTGACACCTCAGCTCCTTACCATTAAACCATCAGATCTCCTTATATATTATTAGTTATAATAATGTTATTACTCTCTACATTTTACAACATTTCACTATCACCTTTTGATGAATGTCCGTCATGTTGGGAATTTTACACACACACACACACACACATATATATATATATATAGTAGTGAGAACTACTTAATTGTTTCTGTTTGTATATTCCAGTATTTGGAGTAGCAAGTATTTATACCAGTTCAACAACACATTCTTTTAAGATTGTTTTAATTCACTTCAGATACTCATGTTATTTTTTCTGTCCAATGACTCTCTGTTAATGTCAATGTTAAGATGTTTCACCCACAGGAATATGATAACAAGGTTGTGGCTTGACATATAGCAAATAATATTTGCTACATAAATGCCATGGATAATCGTGTTGGTCATTTGCAGCTATGTGAAAAAAATAACATAGTAGAACGCTAAATGTCAAGGATAAAGTGAATTTTCTGACTGCTTATACCCTTGTCCTAATCACCATTTGACCAGTGGTCTTCTATAGAATCGCTTCTTTTTACCATAGCTTTTTGGAGGCTGCCATTGGTGTGAATACCAGGAGGGACCAGTCCTTGGAGAAGGACAGCAAGCTTGGAAGGGTTGAGGGACAGCACGAAAGAGGACGATCCTGAATGAGATGGATTGATAGAGTAACTGGAATAATGGGGGTAGGTATGGGTATGTCAGAGTCAGTGAGACTGGCTCAGGACAGGGCAAGCTTCAGAGCTACTGTACATAGTGTTGCTATAAGTTTCAGGTGACTCATACATAACAACAATAATATCAAGCTTAACATTAGTAAGTTTAATAACAAGAATGGGAATCTCACTACCAGCAAGGAGGAAGCAAAGTGCATCACACATCCTTTGGGACCAGAGATTCCTGTACCAGTCAGACTGGGACCTACACAAAGCAGCAGCAAAATCAGTGGATAATTAGAGAGCACCATGTGATTGAGCTCACCTGAAACTGCTATCCCACTGCACCAGAGTAAGGGGCCCTCACCAAAGATTAATGAGGGACTGAGGGGAGATACAGTAATTACACAACTAGGGAACTTTGTGGAAGCTCTGGTGGCCTAGTTGTAAGAAGCTGAAATGCAGTTTCAAAGGTGCTCCACAGGAAAAGGATGGGCAATCTCCTCCTATGTGATTAAATGCCTCTGAAAATCTGTCAGAGGGTCAGCTATGGGTAGGTTCCAACTTGACAGTAAATAATAACCAACCACAAAGAAATTTTGTAACACTGAGCTAATGAAGGTCAAAGGACCTGTGATCATACTTATGAAGGAGTCCTAATTGAGGAATTGTATCCTGTTGCCAACCTGAATTATAACCTGTTAATGTCTCTAGTAAATTCTATAACCATAAGTATAATTCTGTAAGAACTGTTTGGTGTCATTGCAAGGGATTTTGAGCCAGTAGTAGAGCAATGCACTTGGCACTGGAATTAGTATAAGTCAGATTTGGACATCGTTATGCTGCCCTCTAGAAATGAGCCCTGGTGACTTAGTAGCAAGAAGGGGTGCTGCAATCCCAAAGGCATGCAGTTCAAGGCCACCAGCCATTTCAAGGGAGAAGGATGGGCAATCTCCTCCCATGTGGTTAACTGCCTCTGAAAACCTGCTGGAAGGTTCTGACTCGATGGTAAACAACAACATGCCACCCTCTGGACACTGACTAAAGATGATAGAAGCCGAATCAATGCCTTTGAATTGTGATTCTGGAGAAGAGTGTCAAACACACTGTGAACTGTCAGGAGAACAAACAGGTCTGTCGTGGAGAGGGTGAAACCAAGCTGCTCCTTGGAGGTTAGGATTTTGAAGCTCTGTCTCACTTTGGGTATGTGGCCAAGAGGGACCATCCGTGGAAAACGACATGCTTGGAAAGGTGGAAGGACAGTGCAGGAGAGGATGAACCTGGATGAGATGGATTGATTCAGTAACTGGATAATAGGGGTAGGTGTGTTGGAGACAATGAGACTGGCTCAGGATAGCACTGGGTTCAGAGCTATTACACATAGGGTTGATATGAGTCTGACTTGCCAATACCTAACAACATTTAAATTAATTAAAGGGAATGTTTTTTAATTAGGACTTAAGAAAATACTATATTTAACTTCTTTTTAATATAATTATTTTGAAGTCTCTTCATTTTTATCTGAAATATCAGTTGAGATTTTTTATTAAATATCCAGAATGACAAAAAGCCCTCATATAATAATTTCATTTACATGTTTTATCCTTGAATCAATTCAAGGGAAATAAAAGGAATATTAAATAAGAATTTTCAGCTCCAAAGTAATAAAAATGTCTCTATTATTTTCAGAATTATACCTGTAGGATACTAGGAATGAAAATGAATTTCCAGATATACATGATATTGTATGTGTGTGAACATAAAATAACTATATTTGCAATTTCTTAAAATGTTTTAAAGTTACTGAATCAGGTTTTTAAATCACCATGATCTTTTCAGCTCAGAATGCAAAAGGTATTCAAACTTTGCTGATTGAATGTGTCCTGTATGTGTGCTAATTTTAATTACACATTGAAGTCTTGATTACACCCTACGGATTTATTTGCTTATGAAAAGTCAGACTATGAATTACAATATTGCAGATTAATTTCCATTTCATCAGATTTGTTTTACCATTCAGTCCACAAGCATGATTTGTAAAACTTTGCAATACCTAAAAAACTTTTATACTACATTACAAAAAAGTACTTAAATATAGATGAAAAAGATGTTTGTCTTTTCCTTCTAGTCTTGATGTTGAATAAAAGAAGGAATGTTTTGTTTAAAAGAGCCTCTCATTCCCCCCTCTTAAACAATAAATAAATGGCAATGTGAACAAAGGGTTTCTTTAAATTTGTTATTCAGTTCAAGTGTGTGTTAGAGGGGAAAAGTCTACTGTATTTATAAAATATAACAACACAAAGGGAAATTGTAAATAGAAAAAGAAAACATGTAGAAGAGACAAATATTCTGTGCACACAGTTTTAAAATCCCAATATTCAAAGGAGAGACTGCACGTTCATTATCTTGAACACAAATTCCCAAAGAACAATATTCCAATGTATTAATTTTCCACAACAGATTTTCCCACTTGAAGCAGTTCACTAGCTTTGACCATAAAATGGATCTTAATTTAATCATCTAACAGTTCAATTGAAATGGAACAAGAATTTTCACAAACATATCTTAGTCACATATACTTTCCTGCCTTGTACTGGAACATCCACCAATATTCCCTCAGTTCATAGATAATAAAACATCTTGTAAATGTCATCTCCTCACACAGTAGCAGGGTCTTGAATGGAAAAGGACAGTTTCTTTTCTGTTTACACCACAGAAAGAAATTATAGATAGGCTAATGAAAACAACTTTTCCTTTGAAAACTAATTTTAAAAAATTCAAAGTTATGAGTAAAAAGTGATAAAAGAAAAGCAGCTAGCTGGATTCTCCTCCACTCCTCTGTACAGTGATATGGTAAAAATACAAGAATGGTGCTTAACACCCTTTACATAGGAAACCTGGTCTCTTCACTTACTATAATAGGGCTCAGTTTAGAGTAAGGGAAGGAAAAAAAATTTTTTTGGCTGCAGCTTTGGTAAACAATGAATGATGAAAAGTATTGCAGAAATGTCCTCAAGAGACTTGACAGTTCAGGACACAGACCTTGGTAGTGTCTGCGTTCTTCCACAAAGCTTGGCAAGTGAATCACTGAGCCCTATTTTAGCTAAATAGGAGAAGGAAGTATTAATTCCAGCGTTGAAACAAGACAGCCAACCAACACAAAACAGTTATTTCTTCTCCTGAATAATAAAGACATCATGTTTGCATATACAACAGCTTTTGCATTATTGCTCTACGTATAAGAATAGATTAAGTAACTCATAACAAGACTGCACATTACAAACTTAAGGTTCTTTGGTGAAGAATGAAAGAAAACAGTATTTGAGCTTTAAATTAAAATGATCTCATCCATTTTCGCCTTTATCTATTGATCCGTTGGATCCTTTCACAGAGCAGGGAGAGATACTGTGTGAGTTTCACCATGGCGACGATGGCCACACCACCAGCCATCATACATGTTGGCCAGAAGAGTGAATGGAACAGCACATTGGAACTGTAGAGTTTGGTTAGGATGACGCTCTTCTGGTTTCCTTCCGGGTCAGAATAGCAGGAGAAGTGTTGGTATTTCCTGAAGTTTTCCATGACAACATTCACCAGGGACATCGATTCTTCAAAGTTTTTTCCACACTTAGGTATATAGGAACACTGTGGAGAATGAGATAAACTGTCACCATTCTGTGGGATGTGGATGTGTGTGTAAGGGGTGGAACATGGAGGCCAGTTAATAATCTGAGGAATAGTTATGAAAATACTTCAATGCATACCCTCGTGCCTCCAGACAACCTGAGAAATCACACATTGAAAACAACATTTTAGGCAATCTGACCAAGATATTGTTGATAACTGACTGATTCATGTATCATTTAATTATTCATTTAAATCATGATTTCCAATGGGAATTAAGTGTTTTGGGGTTTTTGGTTTTGTTTCCCATTGAACATAACATTTCCATGTAATCAAAATGCCAGCCTTGGTGTCTCTTGTCTATCTACAAGAATTTATAGAGTGTCAATGAATATACATAGAATGTAAAAAAACTAGCAGTTTCCTTGGAGAAAATAGTTTACTATTCTCTTGATTTGGTTTCATACTATTTAACAGTTATTATAGTGAAGAAAACACTTTTACCTCTGTTGGGTTGATTAAAAAGAATCTCAAAAAGTGTATGATATTGAATAGTTATGATGCTTTGTCGAAGCTCACTAAGCCTGTCACAATAATTCTTCCATAAAACAAAAATTAAAACAAAATTCAATTTATTTCTCAACAATCGCTCATCTGAGAGGTCTTTATCTTTTTCTATTTCCTGTTTGTCTTTTTATGTATCTTCTATATATCTGTCTTCTCTTTCCCCCTGCAGCTTTTAAATTTTGCCTTTTATCTTCCTTTTTAAAAAATGGTTTTTCTCTAACTTCCCTTCTAATTTTATATTTTCCTCTCTTCCCTCTTTGTTTTCTTTTCTCTTTGTATTCTCTGATTACAGATAGAACTAGAGAATATCTTTGTGGTTGGAATACATTTCCCCTAGCTTTAAGAAAGCAATCTTTGAGGAGACTAAATATACAGGACGTTCGTTGAACTTTCTGTAAATAAGCAGTTACAAAATTGATATCACAAGTAATGTAATACTTGGAAAATTTAGGATAAGTATCATAAGTTTGCACTTTGGGGATGTATGAGGGTGCCTCGGTAACCTTTCACCAATTCTAGGAATAATTTTCTTTTAATAGAAAACATACGATTCTCTGCTTATCCAATGATAAGTTTGACTGATACATCTGAATGAAACTGGCTTTTAACCAGATTACTGCTAATCCATATAGCATTTTGTGTGAATAAAAAACAGTACCTCTTCTTTAAAACCTGATTTTCACTTGGGAATGGTCATAATACATTTGTTATTGTTGTTATGTGCCGTCGAGTCGTTTGCGACTCATAGCGACCCTATGCACAACAGCCCTAAACCCTGCTCTATCCTGCGCCAACCGCACTGCCTCTGACACACCCATCCCAATTACCCCAGTCACCGAATCAATCCATCTCATAGAGGGTCTTCCCCTCCTGCGCTGTCCCTCCACCCTCCCAAGCATGATGTCCCTCTCCAAGGACCCGTCCCTCCTGGCAACATGTCCAAAGTATGTCAGATGAAGCCCCAGAATCCTTGCCTCCAAAAAGTAGCTTGGTTTAATCCTCTCCAAGATGAATCTGTTTGTTTTCCTGGCAGTCCATGGTACATTCAGTACTCTTCTCCAACACCACAGTTCAAAAGCATCAACCCTCCTTCTGTCCTCCCTAGTCATTGTCCAACTCTGATACATAACAAGCAATTGCAAATACCATGGCCTGTATCAGGTGCACCTTAGTCTCCAGAGAGACACTGTTTCTCCTGAGAACTTTAGAGAGGTCCCTGACAGCAGACTTTCCCATCGCGATACGTTTTTTTATTTCCTGACTGCTGGTGCCAAGAGTGTTGACTGTGGAGCCGAGCAAACTGAAGCTGTGAACAAGCTCAATCTCTTCGCCATCCATCCTGATGCTGCCAATTGGTCCAGTGGTGAGAATCTTTGTCTTCTTGACATTGAGCCTCAGTCCATACTGAAGGCTGCAGTCCTTGATCCTTCGCAGCAAGTGCATGAGGTCCTCCTCAGTTTCAGCAAGCAGGGTTGTGTCATCTGCATAACGCAGATTGTTAATAGATCTTCCACCAATCCTCATGCCACAATTCTCCTCATAGAGCCCAGCCTCTCAGATAATCTGCTCTGCATACATGTTGAAAAGGTATGGAGACAGGATGCATCTGTGGTGTACACCCTTCTCAATTTTGAACCATGCAGTGTTACCCTGCTCTGTTCTGACTATTGCCTCTTGGTCCAAGTATAGGTTTCACATTAGCACAATTAAATGTTCTGGGATTCCCATTCTTCTCAGAGTCAGCCACAGTTTGTTATGATCCACACAGTCAAATGCCTTTGCATAATCAATGAAACACAGATAGACATTCTTCTGGTTTTCTCTGCTTTCAGCCAAGATCCATCTAACATCAGCTACAATATCCCTAGTACCACAACCCCTTCTAAACCCAGCCTGGACTTCCGGAAGTTCTCTGCTGAGGTGTTGTTCTAATCGTTTTTGGATAATCTTCAGTAGAATCTTGCTTGCATGTGAAATCAATGACACTGTTCTGTAGTTTCCACACTCAGTTGGGTCACCTTTCTTTGGAATGGGAACAAATATAAATCTCTTCAGGTCACTTGGTCAAGTGGTTGTTCTCCAGATTTCTTGGCACAACTTGGTGAGCACATCCAGGGCAACATCTGTTATCTGAAATACTTCAATTGGTATACCATCTATTCCTGGGGCCTTATTTTTTGCTATTTCCTTCAAAGCAGCTTGAACTTCTTCCTTCATCACCATAGGCTCTTGTTCATATGTTATTTCATTAATTCTTCTGTATCTGCCAATTCCTTTCTGTGCAATGACTCAGTATATTCCTTCCATCTTCTTTTAATACTTCCTGGATCATTTAATATTCTGCCCAAAGCATCCTTGATTATAGCAACTCTAGGTTTGAATTTGTTCTTCAGTTCCTTGAGCTTAAGAAACGCTGAGCGAGTTCGGCCCTTTTGATTTTCTGACCCTAGCTCCACGCACATTTCATTTTGCTTTGTCATTCCGAGCAGCCTTTTGGAATCTTCTGTTCAGTTCTTTAGTATCTTGAATTCTTCCTTGTGCTTTGGCTTCTCTGCGCTCCAGTGCAATCTTCAGAGTCTCTTCTGACATCCATTTTGGTGTTTTCTTCCTCTTCTATCTTTGTAATGACCGTTTGCACTCTTCCTGGATGATACCTTTGACATCCTCCCACAACTCATCTGGTCTTCGCTCATTGGTGTTCAAGGTCTCAGACCTGTTCCTGAGATGATTCTGAAATTCAGGTGGGATAAAATCAAGGTCATATTTTGGCTCCTGTGGATTCGGTTTAATTTTCCTCAGCTTCAGTTTGAACTTGCATATGAGTAATTGGTGGTCTGTTCCACCATCAGCCCCCGACCTAGTTTTCACAGCTGATATTGAGCTTCTCCAGCGGTTCCTTCACAGATGTAATCGTTCTGGTTCCTATGCATACCATCAGGTGAAGTCTATGTGTCTAAACTGCGTTTGTGTCTCTTATAAAATGTATTTGCAATGAATATGTCATTGATTTTACAAAATTCAATCATTCTATTTCCAACCTCATTCCTTTCACCAAGCCCATGTTTTCCAACTACTGATTCTTCTGCATTTAAAACTTTATATTTTACGGGGAGCTCTGGTGGCCTAGTGGCAAGAAACTGCACTGCAATCCCAGAGGAACACGTTTCGAATCCACCAGATGCTCTGCGGAGAAGGAGACGCAATATCCTCCTGTACCAGTCAGGTCTGATTTGATGGTGCACACACACAAAATAATGATAAAAAAAAGTTTACATTTTACATACACATAGTGATGATAGATAGTCATGTATGACCTTTTCAACATGAGCAGCACTCCTACACAGAAACACAGATTAAAAAGTGAGCTTGGTGTAAGCATGAGGTGCAGTGATGGTAGCTTTCAGATGTTGTTCTTATGTGCCATCAAGTCTCAAGATTCATAGTGACCCTATGTTCAAGAGTCCTAAGCCCTGCTCTATCTTGTGCCAACCTTACTGTCTCTGACACACCTACCCCCATTATCTCAGTTTGTGAATCGATCTGTCTCATTGAGGGTCTTCCTCTCTTGAGTTGTCTCTCCACCCTCCCAAATATGATGTCTCTTTCAGACCAGCAGATTTCACAGTAAAAATAGGATAACAAAAAAAAGATACAATGAGCTTTGCTATCAGCTTATGTTTAGATTACTCTTTTCCTTGACTTTATTCATGAGCACACAGGCATTTGGCTTTGTTTGCTAAGCTATAATCATGGGATTAGTTGACCATAAACAGCAGGAAGTTTCTGAGTTGGTTAAGAATGGGACATGAGCATGCTGACCTTTCCATATCATAAACCACACTCAAAGTGATGCTCTTGTGATAAGGTCTGGCTGACACCTTGAAATTTAATCGGTTAAGAATATAAATGCCACTAGAGCAGAGAGTTGGTACTAGCACAGCATTAAGGATCTGAAGATATGTTCAGGGCAGAAAATGTCCAGAGAATAGAAAACTTACTGAGCAAATTAACCGATGCATATTAGGAAACAAAATTCTGACCAAATTTGCAGCAGCTTTTTCCTTCTGGATTAAATGGGTTAAAGACACAACAAAACAACAACTCATTGCTATCAAGTTGGAATGGACTCATAGTTTACCCTCCAGGGGGTGTCTAGAGATTTTAGATTGTGTAGTCGGAGATTGCTCATATTTCTCCTGAGCAGCAACTTAGTGGACTTAAACCTCTTGCCTTTTGGTTGGCCACACAACTCTTTACTCACCAGGCCACGAGAGCTCTCTAATTATTTTTATAATTACTAAAATCTGCAAGATCATGTCTTTCTAGTGGAAAAAATATTGAGCTTTTGTTTGGTTATTTTTACCGTTGCTGTTCATTTTTTTAAAGTTGTTGTTGTTGTGTGCCATCAAGTTGGAACTGACTCATAGTTGACCCTTCAGGGTGTGTTTTCAGAGGCAGTAAATTGCATGAGAGGAGATTGCTCACCCTTCTCCCATGGAACAAGTAATAGATTTGAACCATGTTCCTCTGGGATTACAACACAATTTCTTACCACTAGGCCACCAGATTTGTTACTGTGATTGAATTCAAAC